CCCCCCCGCCTCCCGGCAGGGCGGAAAGAGCCTCCATCTGCGCCCACCCGGCGGGTACAGGCGGGGAAACGCCTTTCTCCGGCTGCGGGCCTGCTCCCCCAGTGCCCACCGCCCTCCCTCAGGGAGGAGACCCCCAAATCACCTCCCTGGGGGGAAGAATCACCTCCCTGGGGGGAAGAATCACCTCCCCCGCCATCCCAGCGGAGATCATCCCCCACACCCGGGTGTTTAAAAACCTGTGCTGGAACCTACCCAGGAGAGAGGAGGCTTCACTAGCTGAAAGGAACACGGGAGTCCAGCCAAGTAAACTAGGCAGGTAGAATGTTTCAATTATATTTTACTCTTCATTAAGATTGTTCATTTGAATGTTCTTATTACAAAATTAGCTGCCACGGCCCACAGACATATGGGACTTCAGGAAAACTGTCCACTGACTCAGAGCACAAACGTATTTCCTTTCCAAGAACTCGGTGAAACAATACCACATTAATCTTTAAAGCTAAATAGTGCTAAAATGTTACATAATCTACATTAGTTTTGGTTTTAAATAATTTGACCAACCGTTATAAAATTAATATATTTGCATGTATCAGGTTACAGACATTTGCATTTAAATCAGTGTGAAGTATCCCATGCTGGAAAAAGAAGGTTTTAAGCAATTGGCTCTTTCAGCAGCAGCTCATTCTTATTGCCTCAGAATCAGGTTTGCACGAAGTATTGAACAAGAAAAATGCAAGACATTGTTTCCCCACAAAACTCGAGGCTGTTTACAAGCAACAATAAAACGCCTTCTAGACGGGAAGCATTTATAAAATGCAGAGCTCTCCCTTGAAGTGCTTGCCCGGGGGCATTCACTTCATTCTCCCCCTTTGTATTCAAAAACCTGAAGCGATCGTTTCCCAGATGAAGAGGACACATCTCCTCTGGAGCGTTTTTTTACTGGCTTGGCACACTTGGCAATTGTAGATACTCCACTGGGATCTAGTTTCTGGCTGAAGTGAACTAGGCAGCAGCTGCTGAGATCAGGAGAAAAGGGGGGGTTTTTTGAGGGAAACTTGTACAGTTCAAAATATTGAAGGAAAGCTGGTTGAAGCTGCTAACTCAGCATGCACTCCTGAAGAAACATCAGGCTGACAAGACAGACTTCACATTCTATTCAGAGCATTCCAACCCAGAAGTAGGAAACCTCAAATATTCCAACTCCCTTGTATCTAACCCATCTCTTATGTTTTAGACATACGAGCAATCCTGCCCACAGGTGACCAAATAACTGTTTCAGTCCCTTGTTTGTAAAAAAAAAGAAAAGAAAAATCAATTCTACTGAGCTTAAATCCCTGAAGAATCCATACTGTGTATGGAAGGCTCTACATGTTGTGCCTTTAAAAGCTCAATGCAAATAAATGTACAGTTTGTGGTTTCTTGTGCAGTTTTCCTCCCAGTTTTCCCCCTCCCCTCCCAATAACTAAACCCAAAGTTTAAAACCAAAGCATGAATATGTTACCAGCACACATGGACAGGATCACAATCTTCTGTTTTTAAAGAACAAATGACAAAGAGCATTCAAGAATATTGCAGATTTTTTTTTTTAAACAGACAAGTAGCAAAAAATCGATACCACCTGGAGTAAAACTGCCCAGACAAAGCTCTCTACAGACCTGCATGTTGCTGTAACACTTAAATAAGTAACACCAATGCAAGGAGCATTTCTCTGAATGGCTGCTAGTGTTCAAAAAAAGTGTAGTATTATGGAGTTAACTGGGTCTTTGTACCCTGTGAATTAAAACCCTGCAGGTGGCACCGGGACGCTTCTCACATCGCTTTTACTTTGATCTGCTTCATCTTCATCTGCTTCTTCTCAAGTTTCTTCTGCTCACGCCGCAGAGCAGCTTCCTGCAGGCAGGGACAGAGATCTGAATGAGCAGGGGGGTGGTGTCCTCAAAGAGCAAGCTGATCATTTCAGGAGAGCCACCCAAAAAAAGATCTCCAGGGCTTGAGGGCACATCTCGAGTCCCGTGAGCTGGATCCCCACAAGGAGCTTTTGCACGACTCAGAGAACAACAGCACGTACACCCTGAAAGGCACCTTTTACCTTCCAGCAAATCACAAAGCAAAGCTGGCTGGAGGCCAGGCAGCCCTGGAGATATTGCAGACCTGTGCCAGTGGGTCGTGACAATCTGAAAACCCATCTCACCTCCAGCCGACGCTGCTTTTCGGGATCCTCTTCGTTCATGATCCGCTCCTTCTCTGCCCGTTTCTTCTCCTCGCGGCGGGACTGGGCAGCCTCCTGCCTCTGCACATGAGTCAGCTTCAGGAAGTTCTCTTCCACACGAGCCCTGTTCTTGTCAGCTTTCTGTTTACCCTTTTCACAGAGAAAAACAAATGCCATTAAGAGGGATTTCCCCATGAGCAGGATGGATCTCTGGTAGTCACGTTGGAAACAAAGGCTCCCAATCTTTATATTAATGATCCAATAGTGATGGGTGTCACTTCATAAATCTGTTACTTCAGAAAATATGTAGACTACTTACTTCTCTGTTCAGTCTGAACTTCTTTGCCTTGTCAATGGAGTAGATAACCATGCTCATCAGAGGCAGCAAAGACTCCATGTCCTTTGGGGAAGTGTTGCCCAAACCAGGCACTGAAAAAGAATGTTTCTTGTTAATTCAGAGAGGTTGGCAGGATTCTTCCACCTGCTGTAACACTCTGTCCTTATTGCACACGCCATTGATAGAAGAAGGATGTTCCTATGCCCCTCTTTAGGAAGGACATAGCTAAGTGAAAGAGGCACTTAGTTCTGGAGATTGCATTTAGATCCTCACACAGTGACAGGCACATTTCCCACACTCAGTCCTTCTTAACCCAAACATAAAGGTTGAATTCATGCTCTCACATGAGCTTTGCTTGAAACTACAGCCTTGGATTTTGAAGAGAACTAGAGGCCTTTTCTAGAACAGGCTGTTTTTTCTTTCAGACCAGGGTTAATCAAGTACTCCGCAAGCTCCAACTGCCTAGTAACAACCCATCCTCCAGTGGTGACCTCACAACCACCAGCAGAGGTACGAGTATGAACTAAGATCAGTAACAGCAAGACTGAGTATCCTGTTACCATGACAGTCCCTAGCATGATTACTGCCTTCCGATTACTGGTAAATCAATTACCCTGTTACATGCACTGATGTCATTTATCATATATTGTCTTCCACACATATGCCAGAACTTCAGCACAAATAAAGCAGAACACTCCCCCAGATACACACACTCTCCACCAGTTCTCTTACCATTAAATGTAAACAAAAGAGTCTTTTTAGTTTCAGGTAGCTTTGTAAGCTGCCCCTCCCTGGTAGGGAAGAAAAAAAAGTGACTAGAATGAGTGAAGAAAAATACAGGTATACAAAATAACCAAGTTTGTTAGGGAAAACCTCATCCAGAACCAAGAGACACTTGCAAACTACTTGAATAAAGTAAGGTTAAAAGCCTGGCTGTAACCCAAATTTCAGTTTCAAACTCTTCAGATTGCTGAAGTGTTTTATTCAAAAGCTTGCAGTGAAAGGCAGGAATGTAAAAATCCTAACAGAACCAGCCAGTCATTGCCAGAGGTCACCTGAGCTCTGGCACTGAGCCCTGGGAAGGCCTGTGTATTTTTTATGATGTCATTTTCCATTCACCCTGTTTATACTACTGCAGTTATCTGATAAATAGCAGTTAGAAAGAAAAATAAACATTTTTCTAAAGAACACAGGTTTTCACAAAACCATCCCAGCAGGCTTCACACTGCAGACAAGTGGCCCAGCCTCTTCTCAGCTGCTGGGGCAGACGTCTAGCAGCTCTGCACTTACTCTTGCATAAGTTTTGGACCGGAGAACTGGTCCGAGAATTGGACGGACTCGATCTTGTCAGCGTAGTGTGTGAGGAAATGGACCATCTGAAAGAGAAACTGGCCTTTAGTTCCTCCCAAAACGATCCACCCGCAGCTCACCCGCCCCACGGGGGTTGCCCAAAGTGTCCAAACATCATTCAGAAAATTGCTGTGCTCAGCCTGCAACTGACACATTTAAACTCTCCATTTTAGTTAAGAGCAACCTGGGCTGGTGGGAGGTGTCCCTGCCCATGCAGGGGGGTTGGATCTAGATGATCTTTAAGGTTCCTTCCAACCCAAACCATTCCATGAGCCTATGATTATTTTTTTTAGCTTTTCCTAGAAGGGGCCTCAACACATGGAATCAGTTTGAGCAGCTCAGATACTACATATCTAACTCCCATGGGGGATTTTCCAGTTTCTTTGGTAACATGTCAGCTTTGAGGACCTGTGGACACATCATCAATACCCTCCTTCAACATGGCTGTCAAAACTAACTCCCAGGCTCTGAAAGGCAGTTTTAAGTCTGCAGTTCATGTTACAACAACCAGTTGCTGTGTAAAAGGAATAAAGATATAAAAACTACATTATTACAAGCTCTTCATCTGCCTTAGGCTCTGGATTTCTCTGGACCTCACTAGGGCCATTTGGCTCTCCTACTGTGATGTTTACAGGAGATAAAAGATGAGACGCTTTTTGCACAGGCTGTAAATGCCAGGGCTCCCAAGGAAGCTTTGGTACCTTAGCATCCATCATTCCCTCAGTGACCTCCCCCATCTCTGACAAGATAGCCAAGGAATCTGGAAGCCCGTATTTTGCACCAGACTTGGGTTTATCACTGCAGAACTCACTCTGTTTCAAAGAGATAAAAGGGGGAAAAAAAAAAAAAATCAACATAGGTTTGAAATATCGCTCTGTTTCAAAGAGATAAAAGGGGGAAAAAAAAAACAAAAAAACAACATAGGTTTGAAATATCAGACTGAAATGCTCCAGCACAGGGGGATCCCTAAAAGTACCTGATAAGAAACAATAAAAATTCAGTGACTTAGTCACTCGGTCTGGCTGGGGACATTTTAAGCATAAAGTAAAACATGCAGAATCAACAGTATTTAAGTTAATATTTCCCTTCAACAGTCAGTACTTCAAGAAAAAACATAAACCAATGGTAGTACATCCATGCTGGAATGCTCCAGGTGAATTAAGGCATTTTGCTGATGTTGTTTGGTAACAAAACCAACCTGCACCCTCCCAGCCCCACTTCAGTGCTGTGACTTGAGACAAGTTGCAAAGCACTGCTTGTTATCATTGGATTCTTTGCAAGCTTCAAGCCTTGAACATATGGGAAGTTTTAATTTCAGATCACATAAAAGCAGATGACTTGGACCCAAATGTCCCACATCATTAATCAAGATTACTTTTAAATCCTTGAAAAAATCATTTGTGCAAATTAAAGGAGGTGTAGTGAAACTTGTGTGTGTCCTGACAGTGTCCTTCAGCCTCCTCCGAAAGGAGCTATACATCCAAAGGGAGACATCAGCTGCTTTCCATTCTCTTTTCCCACAACTCTGACACCACTAGCTCACAGTTTGCATGTTTGATGCCCCTAGACTTTCAGATCAGTCAGAAGTTTTCAGCAGTTCCCAAGCAAAGCAACAATCTACAGATTAGAGGTTCTTCTGTCCTGCTGGTCACTATGTTAGTTTTCCAATCAAGGACATACATACCAGGTCCTGCATCTCCTTCTGGAGTCTCACTAGTGCTTTTCTGGTTCCAACAGCAAACACATAGGTGTCCATATCTTCATCATTCATTGTTACTTTTATTTGCTGTGGGACAGAATGTTATCAGCCTTGGTCAGATGTACACAACATCCTCTGCCTTCAGACTACTGGTCAAATTGAGACCCACGTCTTCTATGATGTTTGTCTGACACTTTGATTCTTAACAACAAAGACTAAGTGAGGTCATAGACAGCTGAGGTAAAGCTGGTTTATTTATATTATAGATGCATGGAAAGAGCATCCACAGTGCCCTGTTCCTGCAAGTGTTACCTCCCTTGGCATTTATGCAGTTGGAGATTCCCCTCATCTCCAAGAGTGAGGGCCAGGCACAAAGGAACCTTACAGGATACAATGACCAGGCCTGCATGTGCATGAAGCAGCTCTGTTCAGGCAGACTGAACAGACAAGAGAAACACTATTAAGAATTTCAGATTGCAAAACGACTTTAAAAAGTGGTGTCAAGATTAGGTCTTGAAGCATTGATAAGACTCTTCACAAAACAACTCAACCAATAAAACCCACAGATAATTTCCAGTCATCAGCCATTGGCATTTCCCAGGCAGAAATGAAAGACAAGTTATTCTTTCAGATTGTTTTGACAGTTACTCGGCTGGAAGATGTGGAATAGCACAGGAAGACAGCCAGCAGTTCACTTTTGTGTCACAAGAACAATCAAAAGCAGCAGAGCAGCACTAGAGGAATGCACCAACTCACCCCAAGGGCTCAGTACCTACCACTTGGTCAGAAGCTGGTCTCATCATGCGTGCAAGAACATTCAGCAGGTCTTGTCTCTTGAGGAACTAAAAAGACAAGTTGGTCAACACAGAAAGACAGCTGAGTGTACCCAGAGTGCAGCACTTCACTGGCAGATGGGCCAAGGGAAAAGAGGACATTTATAATAATTTAGCTTTGAAGGGCCCTTGGGATGTCACCTACACTGCTCAACAACAGGCTTGCTTGGTGTTAGATGAGTTTCTCAGGGCCTTGCTCCCTGAAGGTAGGAGCTGATCCAAAATATGGGGCTGTTTCATCCCAGGTGCAGGACTTAATAGGCTTTTATTAGAGCTTAATTAATTGATTTTAATAATAACTATTAAATAATGGCTAAATCATGATGACATTATAATTATTTATCATAATTTATTAGAGCAAATTAAACTACTTCATCTTTCTTCCTTCAAATTCCCATTGATGCATTCAACCAACACACTCAATTCCCTCTAAACAGCAGCTGGGCTCTTCAGCATCCAGGTGCCTCTGCTCAGGCTGCCCTTCTGGTCTGTGCTCTCTCCAAGCACCCCCTCTCACCTGCTTTGGTGGGCAGGACACAGACCCATGTGGACCTTTACTCCAACTAGTCTCCCCTTCACGTGTGCATATTCAGACCCTTGTCTGAGTGTGAGTGAAAGAGTCAAGCTGGGCCTCCCTGCTGCTCACACTGAAATGGAAAAGCCTCTAGAACCTGAAAACTGGTGCCAGGTGAACAGCACTACAAACCCCCTCATCCTTACCTTTAGCTGGATGAGCATTCCTTCACAGCAGACCCTTCCAGAGCACCACAAGTTATAGATGTGTTCATTTTCCTGATTTAGTTTCCCAGTGCTTGTAGCTTCCTTATTAGTGCCATCATCCCCTGACGGGAACAAGAGTGAAAGAAAAAACAATCACAGATTTAAAGATCCAACTTCATCAACAGGCTTAGAGCTCAGCTGCTGCTGGATTATTTCAGCATCTCCATGATGCTTCTGGATAATTTATACCACCATCATCTCATTTCAGCACTGGAAGATTGCCACCCTGTCTGTCCACACACAGCACTGACATTAGTTTCATCTTGCATCCCTGCAGAAAAGTGACTCCTCCTCCAGCCCACGTGCTAGACTGAAACCAGCTTTCTTCACAGAAAAATGGATCCTGGTCTTTGTGGAACTCACCAACAAGAGCAAAGTTACTTTCCAGCAGCTCCCTGTGGGTGTTGAACCAGGCGTGAGCCAGGCGGTTGTTTTTGTTCTTCCCAATGATGTAATTCATGATGTAAGCAAGAAGACCTGTTACCATCAGGATCTCCATGTAGTAACTCTCCCAGCTGTTTTGAAGGTGAGCAGGGACCTGTGGGAAGTGACCAGAGACTGTCTTACAGATGGAATGAGCAGATTCCATAGGCACAAACCCTTTGGAAAACACAGGGCACTGGAGAAGCTTCATCTCAAACCCAGCAATAAGCTTCACAAAGGCTAAGCTTACACGAGGCATCTGGCTCTACTGGGACACAGTAATTACACAACTGATAACAGCATTCCCAAAATCCCTGGCTAATACAAACAAAATAATTCTCTCTTTGAAATAAGCCTGTGCTAGCATGTATCCCTCAGAGCAGTCAACAGCCCAGCATTTCATCCCACTGATCATTTGAGCTTGATGTCCTGCCCATTGCAGCATTAGCTGATCATCATGTAACTTCTGCTGAAATCCAAATACCCAATGTCCAGGAGCCTGCCTGACCTCGGTATCTTCAGAGAATAATGAGCTGTTCTGCTGCCACCAGATCAGTCATAAAAGTACCCAGCCCTTAATTTTCACTTCCAAGGTCAGCCACAATACTTAAAGAGATCTTAGGGATAACAAAAATGCACCTGATTCTTCTGTAAAAGACTCTCTTGGGAGGCAACCAGAAGGTGGACAGAGAGACTGGCTTCAAAAACCATCAGAGGAGTCAATTTCTGATCTGAAACTTTAGCCATGGACAAGCTAAAAATACACAATGTTTATTGTAAGCACATCACAAGTGCAGGCTCCTCTCTGAGTGCTGACAGAGCACCCAGGCATTCTGGGATGCATGATTTTTGTCTGGATTGAACAAAGGTCATCACTCTAGTTCCTCCATGTCTCCCCTGTAATCATATGGGTAAACAAAGCTAAGTCTTAAAATGCTTTAAAGGTCAAAACTGTTTCAAAAGGTCTGTTTTCATGAAGAATTTCCTGATCTATATTCCAATTACAATTCTCAGGGTGAATACAGCATAGATCCAAGGATGGGAGTTCCAGCAGTGCAAAATAGAGCTCAACAGACCAAAGACACTTTTGCTACAAGTTTTACTTGAAGAGTTGCTATTTAAAACAGCATGTACTGATGCAGAAGAGCATGGAATTGGGAGCTGGGACACCTGAATCACATTCTGCTGCTGTCTTCATAGAACCCCAGACTGGTTTGGGTTAAAAGGGACCTTAAAGACCATCCAGTCCCACCCCCTGCATGGGCAGGGACATCTCCCACCAGCCCAGGTTGCTCCAAGCCCCATCCAACCTGCCCTCCAACACTGCCAGGGATGGGGCAGCCACAGCTTTCTGCTGCTGTCTTCATAGAACCCCAGACTGGTTTGGGTTAAAAGGGACCTTAAAGACCATCCAGTCCCACCCCCTGCATGGGCAGGGACATCTCCCACCAGCCCAGGTTGCTCCAAGCCCCATCCAACCTGCCCTCCAACACTGCCAGGGATGGGGCAGCCACAGCTTCCCTGGGCAACCTGTTCCAGTATCTCACCAGCCTTACAGGGAAGAATTTCCTCCTGTTTTTGTCCCCACACTTCTTCCCATTTCTGCATTATCTCTTGTTAATTCCAATGGCAAACTCTTTAGGACAGATCCTCTCATTTGTGCACCAATGATACTACTGACAAATTACCTGAAGCATAAGTGATGAAACACCAACTAGAAAGCAGATCACCATTGATACCTACATTAACTATTGTTATGGGGTCTTTATTTTTGCTAGAAGATGCATCTGGTTTCTCTTCATACCCTTCAAACTCCTCATCATCATATGGTTCACTCTCAGTATCACCTTCCTGAAGGACAAAATCACAAACAACAAGAAAATCCAAAGCCTAGTAAGCAAAATTCAGAAAGACAGGATGAGCAAGAAAGGTGTAAAGACACTATTAGGAAACACACAGAGGAAAGAGATGAGGCATTACCTGTGCATCTGTGTCATCAAAGTCTTCCTGATTCTCATCCTGACCTTCAAGCTCTACAGTGGCTTCTTCTTCATCATCCTCTGTAGTGATGATCCTCTGAGGAGATTCTGTGACTGCATCTTCATTAACATCTTCAAATTCAGCAAAGTCATTATCATCATATTCCATAATATCATCTCCATCCTCAAAATCATCATACTTTGCCAAAGAAAAAGTCCACGGGATGAACAGGACAGCAATAAAAATATATAAACTCCTCATTTTCACTGCAAAATTTAAAAAAAAACAAACCACAAACATTGCAAAAAATCCTTATCAAGTCTGCTATTCACAACTCCGGTAACTTCCATGAACAATTTAAAAACACTATCAGGGATAGACCAGAGAGAGAAATGAACCCCTGCCTGATCTTGCCATCTTCTGTGTAAAGAAAGTGAATACTCTTGACAGGAGAAAGGTATCTTTGCAGGTGAGGTTCTAGACTCTCTTGCAGCAGGAGCAGCTGAGGGAGCAGCAGGTTCCCACCTGGCCAGGCTGTCTAGATGAGCAAGTCCTGGCAGCAGAGCTGTCCCACTATAAACTGACCCCCCAGTAGTATCTCCCAGTCAGTCAGTGTGGCCAGCCTCTCATTGTGCCTACTGCTGTTATTAATTAGCAATTAAGACACAGATCAATCAATGTGTAACAAAAGCAATCTTCAAGTGGACCTTTTTACTTTACACAGTGATGCTCCAACAACCTCTGCTAGTTTTAAAGCCCTCATCTTGATTTTCTAGACAGACTCAGGTCCCTCAGCATCTCTGTGACCTTTTGTGCTGAGGTCTACAGAAAAAAGCAGGATGAGGATGGCTATTGCCCCAAAACAGCAGAGTAAACTGGGGCTCATGTGACCCAAGTTGTCTCTCCAAATCTGCCAGAAACCTGCAGAGTTTGTCAGTTCACCCCTTTTTTTTTTGCCCTCAGCTTCCTACATGGCTTCTGTTTGTTCTCAAAACCATCCCCATTCATCCCAAGGTCCAACAAGAGCCTGAGAAGATGACAAGGACCCCACTGCTGCATTCCACAAACACCTCCTGAGGATGGGCTGCAGCAGACTCCTGGAACTCCCTCCTATAACCAGATCTGAGTGGGAACCTGGATGTTCATGAGACTGTTCTCTTAAAAACTTGGAATAGAAATGATACGTTTCTAAATCAGACCAGCACTCCTTTAAGTACCTCAGGCAGAGAGCCCAGGATTTGAGGACATGGTTTGGGTATGTCACAACTGTATGTGAATTCACATACAGGACAATTTATCATAGAATCATAAAATGGTTTGAGTTGGAAGGGACATTAAAGGTGATCAGGTTTCAACACCCCTGCATGGGCAGGGACACCTCCCACCAGCCCAGGCTGCTCCAAGCCCCATCCAACCTGCCCTTCAACACTGCCAGGGATGGGGCAGCCACAGCTTCCCTGGGCAACCTGGGCCAGGCTCTCACCACCCACACAGCAAAGAATTTCCTCCTCAGGTCTCAGCTAAATCTCCCCTCTTTCAGTTTAAAATATTTAACCTCTGAATGCAAATTCGGTGGTGTGTAAAAACACCAGGACAACGGAGCCACCTGCTCAACCAAACCCCAGCAGTTTCAGAACAAGGATTTTGAGACTATCTAAAAATACCCACTCTTAAAAGACCCCACAGCTCCATGAAGCCCTACGGAAAGCAAACTCCCGCAGCAAAGGTGGTGTGTAAAAACACCAGGACAACGGAGCCACCTGCTCAACCAAACCCCAGCAGTTTCAGAACAAGGATTTTGAGACTATCTAAAAATACCCACTCTTAAAAGACCCCACAGCTCCATGAAGCCCTACGGAAAGCAAACTCCCGCAGCAAAATGCGGGGACGAATGAACTAGCTGGTGAACACCAGGACACGCTCCTCCCGCAGCCGCCC